CCGATGACTTTGCACTAAACAAGCGGGATCGCAATGCCGAATCACAGGGGAAATTGGAGGCCAGATTTATAGTTTCTTTAAATCACAGTTTTCTGTGGTTTTAACACTACTGAACGATAGCTTGGCTTGCTTCCTTCATCGACATAATATTATTTGCCAGTAAAATAGAATCAGCTACTTCCTGTTTACGTAGTGCTTTAAGTCATTTCGTGTCCTTCATCTTCCATCAGTTCTCTGACGACATACACATCTTTCCGATTTGGTTTAACATCTATAACCTATAAAACACTATCACATCGATTATTATCGATTGCAGAGCCAGTTTAGATGCCGGTTTTAATTGGCCATTTGCTAGGATAATAAACCACAGTTTCAGCGTTAGTTATTATGCAATGTTGCCAGAATCTTTCTGAACTTTAACAACTTTTCTGTCTTTAGAGTTAGCTTTGACGTGAAGGGGTCGGTGCTCAGTTAAGTTTACAAGATAAAAGTAAACGCAGTTGTCAGAAATTGCATTTTTGCCTTTCGACAACTCGATCGTCTGTTATTTTTACAAGCTGTGCTACGTGGATGACGGATGGATGTCAAGGAACAAAGGATTTTCTCGCCTGACAAAATTTGTACAGCCTCCAAAGCCAGTCGACCGAATTTTTGAAGTTTTGTTGCGCTTGCTAAAATTTTAGTGGGTTCAAAAAATCGTTCGCACTAGAAATGGCTTAGTAATTTTTTGGCAAATCAAAGCAAAATTTCGCGTAGTGCGAAAAGGCCTTTATGGTTATGCAAATTTGCACAGAATTGAAACACTTGACTAAGTTTTCCTTAAATTATGACTATAAATAGTGCAACCTTACCAGCCATCTACGTCGAAATGTCGTGCAATGTTTCGTTTATACTGTAAAGAGAAGACTGTCTCTTGAATTAAAACAACCGACTTGAAGCATTACATGGACAGGGCCAGAGAACAATCAGCTAAGAACTGTACTAAGTGGAGTAAAACTTCTCAAGATCACAGTGGAATGTGATGTTTGCTTTCTATATTAAATTTCATTTCAAGTGCTTTCAGACGTGACAAATGCATGTAACTCACTAAGAGCTTTAATGTCCACAGAGCAAAATTTGCCAGAGTTTTGTTAACTTCTTGCTTCAAAGTGACTTAACTATTTTCAAAAAAGGTGCCCAACAATAACATTACTGAAGAACTTAATATGAGGTAGTTTTCTAAAACCTGTACATGTTGTTATGCATGAGTCAGTCATGCGATATTAATGAATACCGCTTTGACGCATTGATATTGTCTAGGCGGAGAAGTGGTCGGTGGTCAAAAGAGAAATAACAAGAAGGTCTTGTGTGTGTGCATTAATTTTGAAAAAAGCATTTTTGACGGGACGCGTAGACACAAGGATAGATGGCACATAGAATGATTGAAACAAATGTTTTAAAATGGAATCGGCTAAAGGGAGAAAACTCACACGTTGATTGGCCATATCGAGGTCATGAAGCGAGGAATTCGTGCGATATTCCATAGCGATGTTTGTTTACTCGGTGTTTACTTGTGCCGTTTCAGCAAAGGGAAAACGAACTCATTCAGGACAAGAATACAAACTCTTCTTCAAACATGTCAAATGATTTTAGACTAAACTTGCTTGTACTGATCGGAGAAAATGGGATTACAATCAAATTTTAAACCACTCCGTGATTCTTGCGATATCGGTGTTTCACGTGAAACTCAAAGTGGAACTCTTTCGAGAGATAGTATAGTTCTGTGAAAAACAACAATTTATAGCCCGATGTCTAACAAAGGAGACCATACAAGACAATAATATCGAACTACGACATAAATAAAATGTTGTCGCTTTTCAATCGTTTTAATTTTAGTTTGTCCACACTTTCTCACAAGCAGCCGTCTCTCAACTGATAAAACAGGAGTAACATGACCCGCCTAGATTAGCTCAGCTATCCGCGGGCATGTTATAATTGTAATTTTAATTTGAAAACAAAATAAAATGTATGTATGTATTTTTTTTATTTTTTTTTTCCCCTCCCCTTTTTTAGCTTTTTAAATATTTTTTTATTTAATGTAAAGCGCCATGGACAAATAGTGGATTGGCGCTATATAAATATTTTATTATT